ATACTGTATGTTTGTCTCTCTTATGTCTGTCTTATGTGTATTATAGTACTATCGTCATTGATTCAGCCTACTCATACAAGTGCATCACTTCACACATATAGTTTCCCAGTAATTTAGTTTTATGTCATTATAACATTTTTTTAAATGACAAAAAAACGAGAACAAGATTTCGTTGCATTTAAATATACAGTTGAAGTCAGAATAATTAGCCCGCCTGAATTAATAGCCCCCATTTATTTTTTTTCCCCAATTTCTGTTTAACAGATAGATGATTTTTTCAACACATTTCCAAACATAATAGTTTTAATAACTAATTTCTAATAACTGATTTATTTTATCTTTGCCATGATGACAGTAAATAGTATTTGACTAGATATTTTTCAAGACACTTCTATACAGCTTAAAGTGACATTTAAAGGCTTAACTAGGTTAATTAGGTTAACTAGGCAGGTTAGGGTAATTAGGCAAGTTATTGTATAACGATGGTTTGTTCTATAGCGAAAAAAATATAGCTTAAAGGGGCTACTAATTTTGACCTTGAAATGGTTTTTAAAAAATAAAAAACTGCTTTTATTGAAGCTGAAATAAAACAAACAAACAAGACTTTCTCCAGAAGAAAAAATATTATCAGACATACTGTCAAAATTTCCTTGCTCTATTAAACATCATTTGGGAAATATTAAAAAAAAGAAAAGAAAAATTCAAAGGGGGGACTGGATGTATTTTTTTGTTGTCCCCAAACTTTGTTCGTAGTAACTCTGTAAAGCCAATGTCTCACTTTGCATTGAACTTTGAGTGTGTTACATTCAGAGATGTTGTTTATGTTCACAAATCTACAGTACTAACACATCAACTAAAGTTTAAAATATGATATCATAGTATACCACCCCTTTAATAATGTAATGCACACTGAGTAAATGTATTATTTTAATAACAATAGGGTTTCCACAAACATAATAAGCAGCTCAACTATTTTCAACATTAATAATAATATCTCTTTAAAAGCAAATCAACATATCATAAATTCTGAATGATCGTTTTAAAAATTGCAATTATTCCAAAGAGTAGTGAAAATTAGTTGAGTTGTAAAAGTATGACCAAATGGGCGAGTGCTGTTAACAATACTTTGAATTTGAATTTCTGACTCTACATGTGACGTTCTTCTCTTATTGACCAATAGTGTATATAGAGGAAGCAATAGAGAGTGAGTTCCTCCACGGGACGGTTACCTGTGGGCCGTGGATGCCCTGCTGCGCCTCAGTTGTGGGGAGGACGGCGGTACTGAGGCAGCAGGCTGCTGACAATCTAAGAGAAACTGATAAATTAGACAGATATACAGAGGTGTGACAGTCAGGGTTAGTGACACAAACACACACACACACACACACAAATGAAAAGTGAGCACAGAGGAAATGGTTGCAATATAGCCTGACTTTATAGGTGTGATTTTATGTGTTAATGTCATGCAGAGTCATACGCAGAGCATGTAGAATGAGAGTAACACCAAATTATTAGCTGCTATTAAAGATGGAAATAGTTTAAATGTAGAAGGAAAGTTTACTAAATAGACATACAGTACACCACCATTCAAATGGTTTGGGTAGGTTAGATAAGTATGAAAAAATACTTTATTTTTTAATAAAAGACACTAAAAACATAACAATTTCTGTGATGCAAAGCTGAATTTTCAGCTGCCATCACTCTTCAGTGCTAACTTGTATATATACAGTATATATATATATATATATATATATATATATATATATATATATATATATATATATATATATATATATATATATATACACTCACCGGCCACTTTGTTAGGTACACCATTCCAACTGCTTGTTAATACAAATTCACTCAATCACATGGTGGCAGAAACTCAATGCATTTAGTTTAAACCGGGTAAGAAAGGTGATTTAAGTGACTTTCATGGTTTTTTCTATTTCAGAAACTGCTGCTCTACTGGGAATTTCATGCACAACCATCTCTAGGGTTTACAGAGAATGGTCAAAACAAGAGAAAACATTCAGCGAGCTGCAGTTCTGTGAGCGCAAATGCCTTGTTGTTGCCAGAGGTCAGAGGAGAATGGCCAGAATGGTTCAAGCTGATAGAAAGACAACAGTAACTCAAATAACCACTCGTTACAACTGAGGTATGTAGAAGAGAATTTCTGTACACACAACACGTCCAACCTTGAGGCGGATGGGCTACTGTAGCAGAAGACCACACCGGGTGCTACTCCTGTCAGCTAAGAACAGGAAACTGAGGCTACAATTCGCAAAGGCTCACCAAAATCGGACAATAGAAGATTGAAAAAAATGTTGCCTGGTCTGATGAGACTCCATTCAGAAGGTAGGGTAAGAATTTCGCAACAACAACACAAAAACATGGATCCATCCTGCCTTCTATCAATGGTTCAGGATGGTGTGGTAGTGTAATGGTATGGGGGTTATTTTTTTGGCAAACTTTGGGCCTATTAGTATCAATTAAGCATTGTGTCAACGCCACAGCCTACCTGAATATTGTATACATCCCTTTATGACCACAGTGAATCCATCTTCTGATGGTTATTTCCAGTAGGATAGCGCACCATGTCATAAAGCGCAAATCATCTCTGACTGGTTTTTTGAACATGATGCTGAGTTCACTGTATTCAAATGGCCTCCAGAGCTCAATCCAATAGAGCGCCTTAGGAATGTAATGGAACTGGAGATTCGCATCATGGATGTGCAGCCGACAAATCTGCAGCAACTGCATGATGCTATCAAGTTAATATGGACCAAAATCTCTGAGAAATATATTCCAGTAGCTTTTTGAATCTATGCCACGAAGGATTAAGGCAGTTCTGAAGGCAAAAAAGGGTCCAAACTGGTACTAGTAAGCCGCACCTAATAAAGTGGCCGGTTAGTGTGTATTACAAGTGGGGTTTTTGTAGTATGTATTGAGAAATTCACCTTTTGAATGGTAGTATATACGTTAAATGCAAATGACGTACAATGCTGCTGCTGTGTTAATGGGAGCGTGCATATACACATGTACATATAAAACATGATCAAAAAAAAGTTTGAATTAAAATATACTTGGTGCTGTCTAGCTAAAATCACACAAACACATCTCAAACATTGTGAACAATTTAAACAATATATACATTTTTTCTTCTAAATTTGCTATTGTGAATATAACATGTTTTGGGTGGTTGCTAGGATGTAATGGGGGTTGTCAGGGTGTTGTTATAGTGTCATGAGTTGGGGTTTATATAAATGCATCAGTCACCATATCTCAATACTTCACATATTTATATCTACAGACTCAATATGACAAATGAAATGCTATTTGAGTGGGACCAGAAGGAAAATACCGCTTTGTGGTTGTGATATGTTTTGATTGCCATGGGCAAACAGCATTTGACACATTTTCTACTGGGAAAAGTATGAAGAAACACTGACACCTGCAGGCGAGGAGAAGAATAGACTGTTTTCTGTTAATCTTTCCATTTTAGTGTAAAAACAAATAGTGCTACTTGATTGCTTGAACGTTGGTGACACAGGTGAAGTGGATCAGACTGGTTTCCATTATGATTAACAAAGACTATACTGAGTCATATCAGCCAGAATACACAGGAAACAGCAATAGCACAAATGTTAAGACCTGAACTTATTCATAGGGGGAAAACTGCTTTCTTCGCAGAAGCTTGTCTGTACATGTAAATGTGCCCGCTGCGCTGTCTACCATAAGAAATGTACTGTATGAATCTCGGTCAGTCTTGTATGAGCAATGCTAACACTGATAATCTGATGCTCTGTACAGCTTTCCACTGCTGATCTTGTCAAATGCTTTTTGGCCCACAGCACTGTAAACGAACATCATTCTACACAATGAGTGCCATTTACTTATTATGTACATACTGAACACATGTAAACTACATTTATATAAATCAATAAAAAAAGACTATTAAACACAGTAAAAGCTTTTATCAGTTATTTATTATTAAAAATGCATTTTTTTGCATCCATGCTACAATATATTAGCAAAATAGCCATTTCTAAAGTGTTAAACTGTAATTATTACTTTAGTTTAAAAATATAGAAATAATGTGAATGTAATATTTCATATTATAAACATAATATAATGCAATAAGGACCTTGCAATCACTATGAAAAATGAACTAAAATTTGAAAATATTAATTAAAATTACCTCCCTGTTAACATGAGCCCTGTTACCCTTGAATGTATCAACATAATCCTGTTAAAAACATTAAAATTCTATTTAAAAGTTATGTTTCAGATACAAACACTTCAATCTAAATGTACCTAATAGTACATTATCAAAATAGAAAATGCACCCATTGCATAGAATGGCTTATGATATGATGAATGATCTGATGTGGCTCTGTATTCTATAGCTCATTAAAATGCAGTAGTCAGGCAAAACGTCCCTGCATTTGCACATGGCATGTCCTGCATCCCCATATGCTGTGTCCATGAATAGAACAGCTCTCTCTCTGGCACATTTAGTCATACAGAGTGCCATGGGATCATCTGAGCATCTTCTGTTAGCTGCATTAACCTTCAAAAAAGCTTTAGATCAGATACTGCTTATGATTTCAGTTTACAATATTTTGAAACACCCGTAAGGCCTAGAAACAGATAGTGCAGTATATACGGTAAAGCCAAGAAAACTGTTCTATCCTTCAATGCACACTGTCGCCAGCTGATGGAGCTATAGTTATGTCATATTTGCCATTGAGAAAATAACTGAAAACTCCATCACACAAACTAACTGCTTGGCATGCAGTTTGTAGCACTCTTTTTATCAGGCCATGAGATGAAAGCGCACATGCAGGAATTATTTTCTAACAGGGACATGCATCGATCAATACCTGTTTTATGATGCGAATACATATCCTTATTGAAGATTCCAACAATTATGCTTGCAAAGAAACTTTTATATATATATATATTTTTTTTTATCCAGACCACAAAAAGTCAACAAATATATGCAATCTTTTTATTTAATATTATCTTTATACTCAGACACTATTTAATAAATACCATCTCACAAAGCCACACGGCCCACATATACTGACCTTACAGAAAAACCTGTTACTCATTTGTTACTCATTTGAAACACGGGAAACACAAGAAACGTGGTTTTGGTATGTGGTTTTTAAAGTGATCACATTTTTTTCCTCAAATGAGAATGGTCCAAAATCATAACAATCTTAACAATATCGTAAAATGTGTAGAAATCAATCAAAATGATTATATATTATTTTACATACACAAAGCCACATGTTTCATGTGTGTTTCACTCGTGTTCCACATGTGCTTTTAATGTGAAGCTTATATAAAATTGATTTTGTACAGGCAGAATTGGCAGAAAGTATCATTAAAATAATTGATTACTGAATTATGGACATTTTAAATAGTATCAAATAAAAATGTCTATAAATCTATCCCTGAGTTGAATCATACACTCCAAACAGTCACTTCGTATGGAAACCAGTCTGTCCTCAAACCTTGTCACCTACTCAGGGTCAGCACTCGGGATTCTAGAGTTTCTTGCAGTTTTGAACTGAATCAGATCGGAGCGTATGCGCGATCTCATGGAGCGCTGTGACTGCTGCCGAGCACCCAGATAGGGAGAAGTGGGAGCAGACCTGGCAACATGAGCGTCAGAGTCCCTGCTATGAACAACTTGACAAAACTCAATACTTAACGTCTCTGGGTCTAACACTAAAGTCTGAGTGCCCAGGTTCCACTGCGACTGGCCAAGGAAAAACGGTTGGGTTGAGGAGGTCCAGAGGGACGAGGATGGAGTAGGTACATCCAGTGAAGGAGAGCTACTAGCTGATGCAACCACATTGTTTTGGAACGGAAAGGAAGGGGGTTTGGACGCAGTGGGACTAGGGGGAGCAGTGAGTGCAGTTCCATGACTTACTTTTTGAGGGCTGCTCTTAATTTTTGGCACTTTCCCTCCACGGCCACAGTGCGACTGCTCGTGGTCAAACTCCAGGTCCTCCAGGCGCTGCGTGAGGGCCAGTTTCTGCTGAATGGCCATTCGCAGGAGGGAGTTCAGAGTCTTCTTTTCATCTTCTGCGGCAGCCAGCTGCCTCTGCATCTCATCTAGTTGAGTTACATACTCATCACATCTAAACAAAGAGCAAGAGAGATTTGAAATTTACATTCAAAGTGATTAGCTCTGTTTCCATCCACTGATTTATAAACACATTTTAGGATATCGCATAAAACCACTGATGGGACAGCATTAATGGGCAAAGCTGCAGGCCGACCACATTGTAAAACATTTTAAATGTTGTTTTGGTCCTTCTAAAATCCTTTAACCAAAGCACATCATCAATGTAGTTCAATATTAATAATCCCAGAACTGTCTTGAGCATCTTCCCTCCCAAGGAACGGTCTCTTGCTTCCATAAGCCCCTGCGCATTCATTGTGTTTTGTCTTTGTCTACTGAGGTACACGTATTTATTATATAAGAAAAAACGGCAATGGTGACTCCTTCAACCATTTTCTTTTTAATATTTGGCATCAGTTTATCAGGAAATGATGATTGTGTACTCTTTAACTCATCGGATTGAAACAATGCTTTATTCGCAAATGTTTTATGCGATATTCCAGTTTAACACATAATTTTGATTAACATCTTTGGATGGAAACATAGCATTTGAACTACATCAGAAGACCTTTTAAGTTGGAGGAGAGCGGCAGAAAATGTATATAATGTTAACTGCAGACAAGAGCTAAAAATGTACCTTGTTGCAAACATTGCCCTCAGTGAGGAAAAGGTGGCTGCGTCTTCTTTGAGAGCCTTGAGTTCATTCCTAAGCTTCATCATTGTCTCCGTCACCATGCATTTCTCATTTTCATACTTGCTCTTGAGGTTTGCCAGGGCCACCTCAGCAGTCTAGAAACAAATATGACAAAGATATAATGTTCTTTTAGGTTTGCTTTTATTACTCAATTTAAAAGTAGTTCTTGCAAAGACTTGGTCTTCTACCTGTTTGTTGGCTTTTAGGACAAGACGTAAGGTGGCGATCTGCTCTCTTTTGGTGCTCAGGAGCGATTTGAGTTTCAGGATCTCCTCCATGCAGGCCTCCTTGTCCTTATCGAGGATAGGCGCCAACTCTCTAGCAGCAGCCCTCTGCCTGGACAACTGGAGAGAGCGGTCTACAGCCTTCTGCAGGTGCTTGATTTGGTCACGGATGATGGCGTTGAGGTTATAGATGTTCATGGGCTCCCTGCGGAGATCACCTGTCTCTGGAATTGTGGAGGATGAGAGAGATGAACCATTGATTGGTGAGCCAAATGGGGTTCTATTGGGACTTCCTCCTTCCCCTTTAATTCCGTCTCCAAGGGGTTCCTTCGAAGGAGAGTCTTGAGGACTCTTGGACATGTCTGAGGAGTTCACAGCTGCAAGACGCCGAGCTAAACGTGGAGAAAGCAGGGCTCGTGGGTCTTCTGGGCCTTTGAGACTGCCACTACGTGTGACCCGACTCTGACGGTAGTAGTCCAGCATGACACGATTTGGCGTTTCATTGTTGCACAAGCAGACGTGGTGGTAGAGCTGAGCAAGTTCCTCGCTAAATGTAACCAGCTCATCTTGAGCTGCATTCAGCATGCCGTTACTTTCGCTGGCCATTCCAGAAGCACACCGAAGCTCAGCTTCCAGACTGCTGACCCGCTCACGTGCCTCACGACAGCTTTTCTCCAGTTGTTTCACCTGTTCTTCAAGCGCCTGGACCTTCCCTTCGCTGTGGTTGCTCTCTTCTGATTGGCTCTCCAAAGACTGGTTATACTTTTCCTTCAACACCTTAAGCTCCGCCTTCAAGTCAATGACCTCAGTCACGGCAACTCTGTATTTGCACTCTAGAAGCTCTATTCCATTGATGTCTGTTTCAAACTCACAGCAACCGTTAATAGGACCGTCGCCCTTCTCGGACTCTTCTGTGTCAAACTCCTTGTCATTGTGGAGGCGTTTCATAGCATTAACACGTTCCGTAAGGCGGTGAACACGTCTGTGCTGCTCAGTTAAAGCACCCTGCGTGTGCTGCAGTTGAGTTTGAGACTCCTGCAGGTTGGTAAGTAGAATTGCTTTCTCTCGCTCAACCTGGTGGAAAAAAATATAAAAGTGAACACATAAAAACTAATACATATTTAATAAAATACAAGTATTTATTAATTTAATAATACATAAACATTTAAATAAATAATTTGTATTTATGTAATAATTTATTTTAGTTAAATGAACAAAAATACATTTATTTATTTATCCATTAAGTTCTTTTACATTTCCAAACATTGCAGGTTTATTTAAGTCCCCTAATCCCAGAAACGTCTCCAACACAAACAAACATGCATTATCACTGATTATTACACGGCTGTTTGGAAAACTCTGATTGGTCAGTTGCTACATTCCAAGGTATGCTATTCCCATATAACAGCAGCTGAAACTAATAATACAGGCTCATCGTGGTACATCCATGTTAATCATCAGTGAATACATTTACATACATGTTTATATGCGTGTCTGTCAAGCTGCTGTTTTTGACTATTTAGTGCCATCTTGTGACTAAATAACATAGGCTAGCCTATGCTCCATTCAGTCATTTTTTCTTCTGTCAGATTTTAATAAAATATTATGACTTAAAACTATGTTTTGAGTAAGCTTTTTAAGTTTTGTGGGAAGTAGCTATGTTAAAATCAAGATTATGCACATAACAGGCGGTTGTTTTTGCAGAATAAAGCCCTTCAGCCTTATACAACAGCACTATGCATGGCGTCATCTTGTAACTGAATAAAATGTAGGTTAGTATATCCTCAATTCAGCCATTTTCCTGTCTATCAGCTTTGCCTTTATTTAAAGAATCAATAAAATAAGCTCCACTTTGCATCAGGCTGCAGATAAGCCTGCATGGCTTTATTCTGTGATAACAACCGGCTGAATGTACTTAATGCCATACTTAACATAATATTTTTATTTTTATTTTAAAGATAATATAAGAGACTCTGCATGGTAAAATTTATGCTCTAATGTTATTTGTTTATTAGATCACTGGAAAAACATGGAATATTTTAGTTTATCTATGTGCATATAAAATTCCCATCCATTGACAAGCTGAAAGTTAGGTGTGTTGGCTTGCTTGTCACAAATTTAGCTCAACCACAGACATGTGATTCCTGTCACTGAGCTCAAGTGCTGCTTAATTGCTTTTTGATCACTCATTGTATCGGAAGTGTCAGCCATCCAACAGCTTGAGGCTGAGATAGCGAAAAACTATTGATTCCTTTTTGGAGAGGATCCAAAGAATAACAAAAGGAAATAAATTTGAAAGTTAGCAGAGGTGGATGGGGAAACACTTTTTGTTTGGATAAATGCCAGGCAATCAGATTTATTCGAAGAGTGTGGAAACAAGTAAATAGAAAAAAACAGAGATGTACATGTGCAAAATGCATCTAAATATCAAATAATACTGCAGCTACTGCTTTATACAATATGAGGCTATGTATTTGATGTCCATCCCACACAGTTAGAGAAAACACTGTATACACATTCCCTAGAGGAGACTCCTGGATGCAAACATGTTATGTAATACTTTTATGTGAAATTGATCTGTTTCGACTGTGTGGATGAATTTATGTGTGGTAACATTGTTTTTAAAGCATACATGACCAAATCAGCCCATAGTTCTGTCAACAGATTGTAATAGATATATTTCATTGTAATCTTATGATAATATTTCATTTAATAAGTAATTTTAATTTATATTTTTAATTTGAAAATTATATATATAATTCTGTAAAAAAAAAGAATATATATTTTATTAGAATATATATAAGTATTATTTTTGATTTTCTTTTTCTTTTTAAAATACTTCTCAAATTATGTTTAAAAGAGCAAGGACATTTTCACAGTATGTCCGATAATATTTTTTTCTTCTGGAGTAAGCCTTAATTGCTTTATTTTGGCTAGAATAAAAACTGTTTTTTATTTTTTGAAACCATTTTAGCGTAAAAATGATTAGCCCCTTTAGGCTATATTATTCTCGATAGTCTACAGAACAAACCATCATTATAATAACTTGCGTAATTACCCTAACCTTCCTAGTTAACCTAATTAACCTAGTTAAGCCTTTAAATGTCACTTTAAGCTGTATAAAAGTGTCTTGAAAAATATCTAGTCAAATATTATTTACTGTCATCATGGCAAAGATAAAATAAATCGGTTATTAAAACTATTATGATTAGGAATGTGTTGAAAAAATTAACAGGGGGGGGTACATTTATGGGGGCTAATAATTCTGACTTCAACTGTATATATATATATATATATATATATATATATATATATATATATATATATATAATTTTCTTTTTTTTTTAGAATGACAGACTGAACTACATTCACTGTAACTGTCATGTCATACTCTTTCACTTGATTTGCTGTGTGATGCTCCTTTAAGCAGCTGATGCTCTCTATGTTTCTGTGTCAGCACTGGCAGATTTTCTATTCTTGTCCCATGCTGTCTTTCTTTGCTGAATATGCCCGTGGCACACATACATACAAAAATATTACTGTGTTCCTCTTTTACAGGGACAGCCACAGAGCACTCACTCATAATGGTAATCAACCTGACAGTAGCCTCCCAAAGCACAAAAGAGACCTTTGCGTCTACTGCATTCCACTTTCCTTCATTCAAATTTACACTTGAACACTTAAAGGGGCAATTTGGCCAAAACTGAAAATTGTGTCATTGTTAACTTTCCTAATGTCCTTTCAAGCATGTAATATGAAGATTTTTTTAGAAACACTGGCAACTAAATAATTAGGGTCAGGGTGCGAGCTACGGCGGAGCTAAGGGGCTCTCCTAAATAAGGCAGGGGCTCCTCTGAAAACATGATTTGTGAAATTTTGGAGGGTCTCAAAAATATTCACGAGGTGTTATTTTGTGTGGTTAATGTGCGTTTTTTCAGTATTGTGTAATGTGATCATGGATTATCACGTGTAAAGGTGTAAAAATATAATTCTTGCATGCATGACGGCGATTTACAAATCACTTAAAAAAGTTAACTACATATTCTTGTCATAAGTATCAAGGTGTAAGGGGCGAGCACTGAGGAACAAAGTCCAGTCATGTCAAAAACTGACAGCCAGATGCTGGTGGACAAAAATATGATGTGACGTTGTGTTTTGTTTTATTTGCTTCATACAGTAGGCCAATACAATGGGTTTTTTTTAAACATTGTGACATTGCTGTAAACATGTTGGACAATTAAGCTAAAAGCAGGGTATACTTGACAAAACAGAACCCTTTTCAATGGTGTTTCTTTCATTTTCAAATACACGATTATGTTTTACTGGAGTTATCCTGTGTGTTTTATAGCCTACATTATTGTGGCAAGGGACTCTCAAGATCAAAGTGACACCTCCCCCGTTAGAAAAAATGGGCTCCCCCAAAGGCTACGGTGTAGTTCAAACATTGATTTGGCTTCCCAGTGGCTTCCATTGTACAAGAAATGCAATGGACAAAAGAAGATATTTTGAAAAATTACGTAAACATGTAACCATTGACTTCCATAGTATTTGTTTTCCTATCATGGAAGTTAATGGTTAGAGTTTTCAGTTTTCTTCAAAATATCGTCTTTCAACAGAATAAAGAAACTCAAACTGGTTTGGAAACACTTGAGTAAATTTTCATTTTGGTTGAACTATCCCTTTAAGTTTCCTGCATATTTAGTGTTGAGCAGTTTAGAACAAAGTGAGAGTGAGTACCTGATAACAGACTTTAATTTACAAAAATGTAATGACAAGTGTCTAAGTAGAAGTTTCAAGAGAATGAAAGTGTGACAAAATGCAAGAATACATAAATGAAGAGGTAAATGGCTGTTTTAATAAATAATTTATTTAATAAATAAATAAATAAATAAACAAGAATACAAATTTAGTGAGTCAACAAGATATTCAAATGAGATCTAATTTAAAAGACAGATGGCATTTGAATACTCACTTAAATACTATGTTGACCCTGAACATTTGTATTCTTGTTTATTCCTTTTCATGTGTTCAATACAACCTTTTACCGCTTCATTTATGTATTTATGCTTTTTGCCACATTTGAATATTATGTAGGGTGCTGAGTTGCTGGTTCGAACCTCGGCTCAGTTGGCGTTTTTGTGTGGAATTTGCATGTTCTCCTTGCTATCACGTGGGTTTCCTCCGGGTGTTCCGGTTTTAACCACAGTCCAAAGATATGTGGTACTAGTGAATTGGTTAAGCTAAATTGACTGTAGTGTATGAGTGTGTGTATGTGTGTAGATGTTTCCCAGAGATGGGTTGCGGCTGGAAGGTATCCGCAGCGTAAAAACGTGCTGGATAAGTTGGCAGTTCATTCCGCTTTGGTGACCCCAGATTAATAAAGGGACTAAGCCGACAAGAAAATGAATGAATGAGTAAATATTATGTTCATATGCTCTCTAACAGTAGCCCAGTTGCCAGTTTGCCAGTTCGTAATTGTTTTTTTTATCACTGAATCATTATTTTAAGAGAGACAAAAAGGGACAAAAATTCTGCTTCATTCAGTACCATGAAAAGTGTTTATAAGTTACTGAATAAAATTTTTTTTTAAAAAAATTATAAATATAATTATACCTATAAATATATTTATTTATACAGTTGAAGTCAGAATTATCAGCCCTCCTGTTCATTTTTTCCTCAATTTCTGTTTAACGGAGAGATTTTTTCAACACAATTCTTAACATAATAGTTTTAATAACTCATCTCTAAGAACTGACTTTGTCTTTGCTATGATGATGGTAAATAATATTTGACTAGATATTTTTCAAGACACTTCTATACAGCTTAAATTGACATTTAAAGGCTTAACTAGGTTAATTAGGTTTACTAGGCAGGGTAGGGTAATTAGGCAAGTTATTGTGTAACGATGGTTTGTTCTGTAGATTATCGAAAAAATATAAAGGTTAAAGAGGCTAATAATTTCGACCTTAAAGTTTATTTTAAAAAAATTAAAACTGCTTTTATTCTAGCGGAAATAAAACAAATCAGACTTTATATATAGACTTTATATTATTTTAATTTTAAAGTGTGCATCACAGTTTATCATGAAACCCAACCCTATAATACCCCCTGTCATGAACGAACTACTCATTCAAGTTATGTATGTTTTTAAGAGAGAATGCATTTTCAAACAGCCAAATTAGTAAATAAAATGTACATTTTTAAAAATAAAATAAAAGTGTTTAGTGGAGTGATTTCTCTTTAGCAACAATCTAGTGTATTTGTCCTATTCATGCTCAAAAAAAGAGGTATAACAACTAACATATCAATAATCAATCCAAAAAAATACTATTTGGACTCCAGTCCTACAGATGAAGTCAAAATTATTAGCCCTCCTGTCATTAAAAAAAAAAAAAGTTTAGGAATTTTTCACAGTATTTTCGATAATATTTTTTCTTCTGGAAGATTTCGTCTTATGTGTTTTATTTCACCTAGGATAAAAGCATTTTTTTTAAGCATTTTAAGGTCAATATTATTTGCCCCCATAAGATTTTTTCGATTGTGTACAGAACAAAGCACACTGTTATACAATGACTTGCCCAACTAACATAGCTAAGTCTTTAAATGTCACTTTAAGTTGAATACTAGTACATTGAAAAATATCCAGTAAAATATTATTTACTGTCATTATGGCACAGATAAAATAAATCAGTTATTAGAAATGAAGTATTAAAACTATTATGATTAGAAATGTATTAAAGAAAATCTTCTCTTCATTAAACAGAAATTGGTGACAAAAATATAGAGGGGGCTAATAATTCAGACTTAAACTGTATATTATAATCAGATTATCCCATCTTTTTCGACTGACCTGTATGAGCTGCTGCTTGAGTTTCTGTATCTCAGACAGGTTGAGTTCACTGAAGAGATCAGACACCGGGAGCATCTCTGTCTTCCTGCGATGGTATTCTCCTTTTGGTCCATGTCCATTACACTCATTATTACACCGGTTGCTGTCCTCGTTGTTAGGACTGGTCCCGGAAGCAGACGTGCCATTGGTCGCAGCCTCCTCTGCAAACTTCAGACCCTCCACGGCAGAGATGGCCAGGTGAGTGCTGGCTCCATAAACACTGTCAGTCAGGCTGAGATGATGAGCCAGCTCTTTTCTCAGATTGTTCTTCTGCTCTCGTTCGCTCTTCAGAGAATCCAACGCTTCCTCCAACTGGCCTTGGGAAATGTCTTTTAACCGTAAAGCATCTTCTAATTGACTGTTGAGCAGCACCGTTTCTTCTTCAAGCACTTTGATTTCATGCTTTAGACCCTCATATTCCACCTGTGAGAAATAAATGGACACTCAACTGTGGAATATAATAATCATAATAATGATAATAATAATGATGATAATAAAAAATATAATAATATTAATAATGATGATGATGATAATAATGATTATATTATTATTATTATTATTATTATAGTTAATAATAATAATAATAATAATTATTATTATTATTATTATTATGATAATAATAAAAGAAATAAACAAACAAACAAATACATAAATACTTATAAAAATAAATAAAAATAATAAAATAAGACACACTGTCACTCATTTCAAATAAAAGTCATTACAATTCCAATAATTATAGCCATAAAATAAATATATAAATTAAGAAAAATTATTGTAAGGAGTCTTTTTAATACCAAAAAAAAAAAAACAATATTCCATCTTTACATTTTCTAAAGACTGTATCTTTGAATAAAATAGAAAAACATAAAACAAAAAATAACAAAATTAATTAAATTAAAATAAAACAGACATACTGTCACTCATTCAAACTAAATGTTTTCCTTTTTTAAATTCATTTGAAACAGACTGAGATTTTTACTTTAAAATAAGTTTTTTGGTAAATTTAAATATGGTATAATTAAATGTAAACATCCCTTTCTTTCAAATCAACCAATGACGGTATAGCCCTCACTACCAAGATCTGAGGAAATTATATGTTTCTGAAAATGCTGTTGATGGTGTGTGTTTACCTGATTCTGTTTGAGTGTTGACACCAGTTTCTGTAAAGTGATGTTCTCCTCCTCCAGCTCAGTGTAGTCCTGCAGAAGTCTGGCCTCTCTGAACTTATACTCTCTGATCTCCTCTCTCATCCGGCTCCTCTGCAGCTCTAACGTCTCATTGTTCTGAAAGACACGCAAAAGGACAACACAGAAAAAAGTAAGCACAAGCCTATTGTAAAATTAATATGCAATATACAGTGGAGAAATAAGTATTGAACACGTCACCATTTTTCTCAGAAAACATATTGCTAATGGTGCTGTTGAATTGAGATTTTCACCAGATGCTTGTACCACCCAAAGAAATCCATATATGCAAAAAAAAAAATCCAATCAGTTTACAAATGAAGTTATGAGTAATAAAATGAAATGACAAAGGGAAAAAGTATTAAACACATGAAGAAAGGGAGGTGTAGAAAGCCCAGACAGCATCTGAAATCTCTCAGTAGTTCTTCTGCAACCATTTGCCCTTCCTCACTGAACTGTAAGTTAATATTAGCTGCTTTATTCCAACTTCTACATTACTATGATGAAGATGAATCCAGGGTGGATATTTCAGCAAGACAATGAATCAAAACACAGCCAAGAAAACTCTTAAATGATTTTAGAGAATTTTACTGTATAAAATACAGTAATTCACAAATTCAGGGCTGTGCGAACAGACCAAAAAAGTATCATATCAGGTGACATTTGTCATATACTTTTATCACGACAAATATAAACTATTTAAAAGATTTTAAAGGTCCCGTAAATTAAAATAGAGGTTTTTAATGTTAGGATCACTATGTTAGTCTTAAAGATTTATATACGCTAGTCGGCTTCAAAACAGTAACACAGTTTGCATTAAAAAGATTTAAACAAACAAAGCTTGCAGTTTGTCGCTTCTGCCTAAATAGATCAATACCTGAAATCACCTCATACTTCAGTTTCTCATCAAATTGTGTGACCCATACAATGCTCTAAAATATTTGACATGCCCTTCCCACTTCAAGACGCTTCTTATTTGCTTTTCATTTGATGCGCTGGGTCTCAACCACTCTCAATGGCAGAGCTGTGATAAAGACTAAATGCTGTGTGCTGTTTTTTTAAAAGGGGAGGGGTTACTATAAAGTATGTCCCGCCCCTTCTTCATGTTTCATTTGAGATTTTGTCAAACATCGAATAAAAGTGCACATTTCAAAGCACTTCATGGGACCTTTAAAGGCACATTTTTGCCCCTCAGTGAAAGTTGTAAAAGCATATTAATTGTTAAGTTAAAATACTCTTTATTGTCAAAACATGACAAAATTTCAACCAAACTTTTCACAAATATGAAATGCAAACATACAGTAATGCATAATACATAATGATATGTATTGAACTTGTTCCTTGACTTTGGGGAAACTATGCAGATTTTCTTAATTTAATTTAATTTAATTTAATTTATTTTAATTTAATTTAATTTAATTTAATTTAATTTAATTTAATTTAATTTAATTTAATTTTAATTATTCAATTTTTACGTTGTCATCCATAACATTATACGGGACATATAACTGATCATAATCAGACAGATAAAACCATGCATATAGCATTATGCATATAAATCTGTTAAATATTATTATAACTGAACATATTAACATATATTCTGCCCTAGAATCACCTAGCATTCATGTTTTTAAAAACGTGTTAAGACAAACTTTTTTTAAATTGCATACAAATATAATAGTATGTAAAGTACGCATTTTATGTACATTTGTTTATAATGTATGTGTTTGTGTGTTTATATTTATGTACTGTGCGTGTGTGTGTCTAAATATATGTATATATGTGTGTACATGAATGCATTTATCTGAGTGTACATTTAGGCTTAATCCCAGTTCTACCCCTTAGCCTATCCCCTACCCCACGTTTTGCGCGTTCCTGTAAAGGTGTGTCCCAATTCTCTTTAGCTTAAAGGCGTAGGGCTAAGGGGAAGGGGTGAATACCCCTTCGAATATAGATTTTTCAGGACCACACTCGAAACCAAAAGCTAAGAAAATTTCACAGAATACACCAGCCACAACGTCAGGATGGCTGCACCCGGAAGTAAGATCCACTAATGAGTGTTTTTGTCATATTACAAATTTTTACAACAAACAAACATGTCTTAATATATTCATAAGCGCGTTCATGTTTTACCGTCATGCTTTTAAAAAACGCTAAAATAAAAACCGCTAAATTATGCGATCTATAATTCCTAATCATAACTCCTGTACAGCAGTCCCACAACACTCTGACACTCGATGACACTCCAATACCCTGTCAGAAAAGTCTAGTGGCTGGGAATGAGCTTTTTACAGTGTCTGCAATAATGTTAATGTTGGTTTTGTGTGTTTACAGAGATGAATATGGCCACTGTGTAAATGCGCAGTATAGTTACGATCTTATTGCCTTATTATATCGTTATGATAACATGATATATGCCTTCATGGATTTCTTAAAGATAAATACCCCAAAATAAAGCAATAGGAATAACTACAGCAGCTGCGATCGTCTGACCTCATACTGTATGAAGCATGAGATCAAGATGACATATGATGACGTGTGCAGGTGCTGTAATGCTATCCCTTTTCTTAGGGGTAAGCCCTTCCCCTTCACTCTCGGTTTTAAGGGCCAAGGGGAAGGGGTACAAAAATAGAATTGGAATTGGGACTTACTGTTTATTTTGCTCTATTTGTGCATACATTTGTTTTTGTTTTTTTTGTATTTCTTTATCCGTTTTTTTTTTTTTTTTTATATTTTACCTGATATTGATGTTGTTTCTTAATATTTGTTTGCTTGTGAAGCACTTTGAGTTGCATGTAGGAAAAGTGTAACAGTTTAAAGTGCTATACAAAAAAATGATCATTATTATTATTTTTATTATCATTATGGGATGTGTTGTTAGAAAGCACACCAAAGCAATGTACATTAACATTTCTCTGTGTTGCACCAAACATGGATATACTGTATGATAACTGATATGATCAATCCATAGAGATGCCTTTGGCTTAAATATAAAAAGCACCGAACCCTGTGATGATACTGAGCATGTCCACACTTCTGCAAACAGGAACTCTGGATAACAAATTGCTTGTCGTCAGAGGAAACCCTCAAGTCAGCACTTTCTTCCTCACAGTTCAATCTATGTGAGAAAGTCGAAACAAAGGCTCTTTTAACAGCTGAAACAGAATGTGACAAGCGAGATGACAAAATGTGGTCTAAATCTTAATGCATCAGAGATGGTACAGTAGCGGTAATCTAACAATGATCCACAATGAGAGGCCAAAAGGTAACTCTTTAATGCTATTTAATCACAACGTTTGCGCCAGCACTGACAGGGTAGTAATCTTTGAAACGCTTTGAACTGTTCTTCAAGAGCAGTTCACTGGAAAAATCACAATTGCTGAAAGAAAGAGAAAACCCCCAGCACTGCACAAAGCAGGCAGTACTGCTGATGAAGAGTCAAAGGTGTGGAATAGACATGGGAAGAGAGCCAAACTCAGGAGAAAACCTATAGTTGGCGCTGATTGGGCAGTAAGACAGGCATGTTGACCATGGCATATGTTTATATTCTGAATATTTATATAAATCATGTGTTACCCTGTAGTCATAGGGATCATTTTTCACACATGAAAGCTGAATAAATAAGGCAATATTTAAAAAAGGACAATATTTGAAAATGTGGAGTCAGAGAGTTAAAAAAAAATCAAAGTATTGAGAAAATATTAAACATTAATGATTTCTAAAGTTCTTAGTAATACACATTTCTAATCAGAAATCCAGAATTAAGTTATATATATTTATGGTGGGATATTTAATATCTTATACATGAAACGTTGCACATTAAATTATTCATTCATTTATTTATTTTGGGCTTAGTCCCTTTATTAATCCGAGGTCGCAACAGTGGAATGAACCGCCAACCTATCCAGCACGCTTTTATGCAGCGGATGCCCTTACAGCCGCAACCCATTCTGGGAAAACATTAAATAATTTTTGGCAAAAAAAAAGAAAGAAAATGTAATAAATTTAAATGATCCAATACATGGCTATTGCCAAAAAATAAACCTATGCAACATAATGGAGTCACATATTTTAATAATCTGTTTAATTTTTTATACAGGTCAAAGGTGAGAAGGGGTTGCATAAAGTGTAATACAACTTTATTTTTTCCCTCCAATCATTACAATGTGTCCTGCTTAATTATTGTATTTTCCGAGCAAAAAAAATGCTATTAATTACCAATGATTTACAGAAGAGACCCATTTAAAAGTCACTCAGTGTAGAATTGATGACAAACGAAAACACTCAAAGAGAAAAGACACAAATATTCATGCTTTTCCAGTGTTTTATTCATTTGTCAGCAAGTAATTTATTATAACCACTTATTCTTTTATGAATTTTAGTAAAGTAAAGGTCAGAATAAGTTGTATAATTGTAACATAATTTTGTTACATTAAATTAACATTTATTAACTATATTATATATATTATACTATAACTATATATTTATTGATGGTCACACTTTATTTTGATGGTCTGTTTGTTGAATTTTAGTTACATTGCATGTAAAGTACATGCCAACTAATTCTCATTAGATTATAGGTAGACTGTTAGGTCTGCCTATAGGGTTAATGTTACCTCAGTGTTTCCACTAGGATTTTTTTTTCCAGCTGTGGCGGCAGGCCTTTCTTTTGCACAGATCTACCAACTACCTGTGGCGTTTTTTCAATGAAGAATGTTTTGAGCGCAGTATTAGAAGTCGGGATCGCATTTATGTAATAGCCTACGAGCATGCAAATCTCTTTGCTGGCATGCCGATTTCCTCTGCTCATGCACAAAACTTCTTGCACGCCACCTCAAATATAAGCCACTTCAAGAGCGAGCAGATCTTCTTGTGCGCTCTCAAATAAACGCTGCTGAAGTGCGTTTATGTAACAAGTATGTCTCCAGCATTTATTAGATTTGCTAGGAATATTTATGAATGTCTCCAATAGACCTACAGAGTAGCATTAATGCGTCCTGAAGTAAAGTGAAATGGCTATATGCCATGTTTGCTGGCCTCACGCATCGTGCGCCTGTCAGTCAGTCAGTCAGTCAGTCAGCATGTCACCTTAAAGGGTT